TCAGTCGTCACGTGAGGTCACAGACCCTGAGCTGCTTTGGGGATTAGTGTGGACGGTTACAAAGCATGGCTTGCTTCTGCAGTGTTTTAAAAATTGAGGTTGGACTTGAAGGAGGAGGTCTTGCTTCTCCAGGAGGAGATTAGGAGGCTGAAGGTCCACCTCAATGGGTCTGGGAGAGAGTGTGAGGTGGCTGGAGTTGTGGGGAATGAGGCTTCTAGCAGCGAGGTGCAGTCTGTCTCTCGCTGTGGGGAGGCTGTAGTTGGGGAGGCAGCAACGGCTACCAGCAGTGAGGAGCAGCCCAGCACCTGCTACAAGTGGAGAGTAGTTCACAGTAATGGAAGGCACATCAGAGTAAGGAAAGTTAAGAGTGAAGATCTGAAGGTAGGAAATCGCTTCTCTGTTCTTCAGGATGAATGTACTTCAGTGGCCAGTGAAGGTAAGGGTACTACTGCCCCTGCTAATGGAGGTAAGCGCATTCTTGTGGTTGGTGACTCTCAGGTAAGATACATTGACCGTGCTTTTTGTAATAGGAATAAGAATATGAGAGATAGAGTGTGCTTCCCTGGAGCTGGTGTTGGGACATTGTCAACAGGCTGGATAATATCATGTCAGGTAATGGGAGCAAGCCCATTATCTGTCTCAGTGCTGGTGGAAATGATATTGGGAAGGGTAGGAGGGGAAGAGCTGCTAGATAAGTACAGGTCAGCTATAGATTTCATTAAGTCTAAGGGAGGGATCCCAATCATATGTAGCATCTTGCCTAGAAGGGGAGTAGGAAATGAATGGTTGTCTAGGGCAATTGGTGTAAATTGCTGGCTAGACAGATACTGCAAGGAACTTGCAATCCCATTCATTGACAACTGGAACAACTTTTATGGCAAACATGATATGTATGCAAGGGATGGGGTACATCTCTCTGGGGCTGGGGTGGTAGCACTTGCAGACTCGATTGAGAAGGCCATTGGTGAAATGCCTATGATTTTAAACTGATGGAAGATAGAGGTATGGGTGTGTGTGGGAAACAAGCAGGTTGCAACACTTGGGTTGGAAACAGTAAATGTATAAAAGGCATTCAGCATGAAGTTATAAATAAAGACAATAGATCAGGTCAGCAAACAAAGGGGGACAGCAGAGGGCAGCAAGGGACTAGCTCCCTTAAGGTTTACTATACTAATAGCAGAGTGTAAGAAATAAGATAGATGAGCTAAGATTAATTGCAAGTGCAGGAAACAGATATTATTGCTATAACAGAGACCTGGCTCAATCTGAAAGATAGAGAGATGCCCTCTGAATGTCACATACAAGGCTATAAATTATTCCACACTGACAGGGTCAACAGGAAAGGTGGTGGAGTAGCGATGTATGTCAGAGACAATTTAAATTGTTGTGTTAGACAAGATATTAAATTAGAAGCGTCAGCCACTGAATCTGTTTGGTTACAGCTTCTCGAGGGCCGAGAAAAACTAATTTTGGGTGTGATTTACAGGGCCCCAAATCTTGATAGGGAGTGCAGTAAACTTCTATGGGACGAAATTCGTAAGGCATCTACATACGAAAATGTTGTGCTAATGGGAGATTTCAACTATAGACAGATTGACTGGAGCAATTTGACAGGAAATTTAGTCAGGTGACTTTCTTGATATGATCCAGGATTGTTTTTTAAAACAGTTTGTGACAGAGCCAACTAGGGGAAATAACCTCCTTGACTTGGTTCTTGCCAGTAGGGAAACACTAATTAATAATCTTGAGGTTAATGATGAGCTTGGGAAAAGTGATCACAAATCACTCAGTTTTAATATATCATGGAATTCCCCTAATAATGGCAATCAAGTCTCCGTCCCTGACTTTCGCTTGGCTGATTTCATAGGACTGAAAAATTACTTAGGTGGGCTGAACTGGAATGACCTGACTAAGGGTCAGGTAGGTGGTGATGGTTGCCGATATGATGCGTTCCAGGGCATAGTTCTAGCTGCTCAGTCAAATTATGTTCCAAATAGGGAAATCAGATCAAACAAAAATGATCCTAAATGGATGAACAATAGATTAAAATATCTGATTGGTCAAAAGAGAGGCATATACAGTATAGGCAAATCAAAAGAGGAGAGGGGCAATTGAGAAATCGATATATTCAGTTAAAGAGAGAAATAAAAAAGGGAATTAGAAAAGCAAAAAGAGATTATGAGGTTAAAGTTGCAAGAGAATCGAAGACTAACCCAAAAGGATTCTTTCAGGTATACAGAAGTAAGATCAGGGACAAGATAGGCCCACTCAAAAGTTCCTCGGGTCAGCTCACTGACAGTGATAAGGAAATGTGTAGAATTTTTAACACATATTTCCTCTCATTTTTTTAACGGGAGGATCCCAAAGGATATTCCAGAAATGAAATTTTTATTAAAAACAGACGATAATAAACTGTCACTATTAGGGTCAAAAGTGCATGGCCTTAGGAAAAATAAAAAATTAAAAACCCAAACAAATCCCCAGGCCCTGATGAATGTATGCAAGGGTTCAAAAGGGAAAGTAAAGAGTCTAGAAAAACCTTTTGGGCTAATCTTTTCCATATCACTACAAACTGGCATGGTGCCAAAAAGGAAAAAAGGGCAAATGTAAACCCATTTTCAAAACAGTACAGGTCCTTAGCTTCGAACTTAGCCCAAATAACCCTAACCCCATAGTGGAAAATTTAGGGAATCAAAAATTTGCCGGGGCATTCGTAGCCACCTTGAAAAGAAAAAATTAATCAACGAATCTCAGCATGGTTTTAAAAGGGGGGTTCCTCCTACAATTTTTTAAACTTTTTTTCACAAAGGGAATTTGAGGAGTAGATCATGGAATGAATATGAATTGTGTATATGGACTTCAGTAAGGTTTTTGACGGGGCCCAAATCAAAACCCTATTGAGGAAAATTAAAGCACATGGAAAGGAGGAAATTTTTCCCTGGATAAGGCATGGTTGACAATGGGCGCAGAAGTTTCATAAAGGGAGAAATAAGTGGGGAATGTCACGAGCGTGTTCCACAGGGGTATTTTGGGCCCCCTCTTTTCACAATCACATAAACGACATAGGGGGGGGGGGGCAAAAAGAGCACATCGCAATTTTTCCGATGACACCAAAAATGGCCGTCGAATTCATTCTGAAGGACATTCGAGCACTCCGAAGATTTGAATAGTGATGCATGGTGGGAAAGGGGCAGTCATTTTTAATATGACAAATGCAAAGTTCAAAATTTGGGACAGACAATAACCTGCCAATATAAAAATAAATAATGTAACTTTAAAATTACGATTGCAAAAAAAATTTAGGGTTCTGGTTTGCATGATCTGAAACCAAAAACAACAGTGCATAATGTTCGCAATAAAGCAATAGAATCCTTGGCTTATATCAAAAGCAAAATAATAGGGGTCCTCAGGGGGTTTTTTCAACCTATACACCTGGGTTTGGCCTCTTTAGATTTGCTGCACAGTTTTGGTCACCTTATTCAGAAAGGATATAAATTCCTGGAAAATGTACAAAGGGGGAGACAAAATTTATCCCCTTATCAGAAACCCTTCCCCCAGAGGGGGAAAAATAAGGACCCTGAATCTGCACTCTCTAAAAGACGTAAATTGGGGGGGAAGATTGAGGTTAAAAAATGGAAGACAGGAAAAAATAAAGGGGATGTAAAAAGTGTGCTGAAAAATCACCCAGACAGGACCGCCAAGGGTTTTTAAATTTGGGGAAAAATTTAATTCAGGGAAGGGTTAGGAAAGTACTGGTTTTTAATGAGTTGTGGGTGAGTGGAACAAACCCCAAGACGTTATAGAGGCCAGAACATTTTGTAGCTTTAAAAAAAGGGGAAAAAACATGATGGATGTGGGGGGTGTGAGTTAGACCTAAGTTGTCTACCAAGGGCGGTTTTCCTTTTTCCTTTTCCCTAATAATGTGACCTGCCTACTAGGTTTGGGGGCATTGGGTTAAGCCGGTAGAGACTTGGACCGCCCCGCAGGGCCAGTAGCCTTGCAGTGTTCCTTTTTCTTATTTCTTATTATATAATAAAATTAAAAAATGTTGTGTTTGGGGTGTGCAAAACGGCCCGGAAGATTTTGCCAGATACAGTACTTTTTCCCTTTAAATATGGGAACTATCGCTCAAATTCCAGGCATTAACCCTTTTACTGTTTGGTCAATATATACACATCATAGAGCCACTGCATTTTACGTATAAATACTCATAAATCCTAGCCTTCCAAACAAGCAAAGAAAGCTGATAGGCCCCCAAAAGTAGAGAATGGTCTGTTTTCCCCAATAAAAAAAAGTCCTGCAGCTGCAGGCTTTCATTTTTTTCGGGAAAATATTCTATATTTTTTTAAAAAAAAATTTCTAATTCTTCGACCCTGAGAGTAAGTTTGAGATCAGGGGTCTGACCCTAAAGGGTTTAAAGGGTTCAATATTGGGTACATCATAACTCATTAAATCGTGCAACTGCTTGCCCAAATATATAATTTTTTAAAATTACAATAACTAAAATAGGGATAAAAGCAATGGAAAAAAAAATTTTTTCCCTTTCCCGGGTTGTGCATCCTGCATAGGACGCACACCTCCAGAAAGTTTAAAAAAACAGACGAACGGAAGCCAAATTTCCCCTTTTAATTTTGCTCCAATTTTTCTTTTCACCAACTCTTCCCGGAATATACAGTATTTTTAAAAAAATTACTTTACATAAACTAAACCTAAATGAAATCATATAAATGATATGGCTTCAGCCGTGTTTTTTTTTTTCCCCAACAAGTCGGCTGTCTCCCACCAAGGCATCATAACTTTCTCAAAATCAAAAAAGACTGCATCCCAAAAGTATATATTATTATTATTATTATTATTATAATCAAGGGGGAAGCACTAAACCCAGAGGATTATACAGCACCTGGGGGGGGGGGGGGATGTGGAAGGCATTCAGGCTTAATTCGGGAACTGGAGCACAGATCCAATTCCCTAAATAAAGAGCCCCTCACCAACATCAAGGAACCAAAAGTATATAAACATTATAACAGTATACTAAATTATATGTAATGGATAACAATATGCACGTTTTCCTTACCTGTACGTGTGGATCCTGCATTACTTCCAGAGAAGAACATGAAGATAATTATACTTTTAATTTTGCTCCCATTTTCTTTCCAGCCAACTACTCCTGGAATATACAGTATTTCAAGTAAATTGTTATAAAAACCATCTAAATGAAATAGTATAAAAGATATGGTTTCAGATTAATTTTTTTCCACAGTAAAACCTTACTGCTTGAAGGCTTAAGAGTTGGATTTTAATACATCACAATGAGTACACAACAATTAGTTCAAGAGGAAAAAAAAAATATTCAAATCCTAATGCGCATGAAATTTGCATAACATTATATGAATAAATTTATTTATACATTACCCTTTTTTCCTCCATGTATAAAGTTAATTATCCATAAATATCTCAAACCCATTTTTTTTTAAACCCCTCTTGTCAATTCTACGGTTCACCTCATCTTTCGTAGCCCCATCCACCAACAAGTCCACTCCAAAATATCTACACATTTACTTCTATACTATCTCGTCCTAATCTGTTGTCCAGTCTTATTACATAAATTTTGAATTACTCTCATCACTTCACTCGTATGTTTACTCTATTTCCTTCTTTTACATACCCTCCCAAATTTATCCAGCAACCTCTGCAACTTTTTAGAATCTTAAGTAGCTCAATTACAGACCAAATTACTAAGAATATGCACTACTTCATGGAAAATTACTGCACAGAATGAACATGAAGATAAAGCTTATACTTTTAATTTTGCTCCCAATATCTTACTACTGAAGCCAACTCCTCTAGGCACTATACAGTGGAACCTCTACTTACGAGTTTAATCCGTTCCATGACGTTGCTCGCAACTGGATTTGCTCGTTTGCAGAGTCAATTTTCCTCATTTAAATTAATTGAAATGGAATTAATTCATTCCAGTAGAATTCTAGGCACGAGAAAGTACTTTAATAATTTCCCTAATATCAACTCTACAGCTTATTTATCTATCACAATTCATGTAATATGGCATAATAAACAATATTAATAATATAGAAACATGATGTATACACTAGAATGAATAAAATACATGTCATTAGGTATGTGGCTAGTGGTGGTGACAGCAGCCATTATTGCTGGGGTTTACAGGGCCACCACAGTGGCCATTCCTGCTCTTGACTACATGTGTAGAGAACCTATGATAACCTAAAAAAGTCAGTGACTTAAGTGCTACACTCTTAATGCTTCACTTTGCCACTACTGCCTCATGATGTCTGCCACTGCTGCTTCATGTCTGCCACTGCTGCTTCATCTTGTCTGCCACCGCTACCTCATGATGTCGCCAAAGAATCGAACATTTCTGCTATTTTGAGCTCAATTTCAAGGTACTTTTCATCGTGAAACAATTAAAATCATATTTATTTTTTGTAGTATATCTTCCATTCTATCACATGAGACCAAATAAAACGAGACTACAACCTTAAAAAACCATATGAAAATATACCGCTAAGGGGAGGCTAATGGCCGAGAAGTGAACTCCGTTATTTATGGTCCAATTTATTTCATTTTTGGTGTACGTTAAGAAGCATCTTTTCATCATGCATTGCCCAAGTGTTAATAAGATAGTCCAACAACTTAGATCTAATTCCCAAGATCAAGAGCAAGAGCCCCCCCTCACCAGTGTCAATTATCTTGAGGCTCGCTCACATCTGGAAATTTTGCTCACGTCTGGAAAACAAAAAATGGACCGCGTAGCTGCTCATATCTGGAAAAACTCGCACATGGATGCACTCTTAAGTAGAGGTTCCACTGTATTCAAAGAAAATTATATAAACCTAAATGAAACATAAAAAGATTGGTTTCAGCATAATTTCTTCAACAGTAAAAATCTGCTTGAAGGCTTTCGAGTTGGAGTCTAATACATTAGTAAATGAAACTTAAATAGTTGGTGGGGGGGATGGGGTGCTTGAAAATAACCTTCAAAAATGTGCATGAAATCTGTTAATTTTATTTGGAATTTGTATGGTATTTTCCAAAAAAGTGGGATAAATAAGAAAAACCCCAAAATTTGAAACTTTACGCAGATCAAAACTTTAAATTCAGTTAAGTTTAACACTCCTAGGTAGCAGGTTGGTAAACAGCAACCACCCAGGGAGGTACTACTGTCCTGCCAAGTGAGTGTACAACGAAAACCTGGGATTGTTTTACATGATGGTACGATTGCTGGTGTCTTTTGTCTGTCTCATAAACATGCAAGATTTCAGGTATGTCTTGCTACTTCTACTTGCACTTAGGTCACATTACACATACATGTACAAGCATATATATACACACCCCTCTGTGTATTCTTCTATTTTCTTTCTAGCTCTTATCTCCATGGGGAAGTGGAACAGAATTCTTCCTCAGTAAGCCATGCGTGTTGTAAAAGGCGACTAAAATGCCGGGAGCAAGGGGCTAGTAACCCCTTCTCCCATATAAATTACTAAATTTAGAAGAAACTTTCGTTTTTCCTTTTGGGCCACCCCGCCTCGGTGGGATACGGCCGGTGTGTTGAAAGAAAGAAAAAAAAAAAAAACTTAAGAATACACACCTTATATCCATCATAGAAGGTTTGATATTGTACACATTTCTGAAAGTAAAAGAAAATACAATGGCTACCAAGAACAAAAATGTGTGTTTTGCATTTATTAGATTTTAAATTCAGCAAAAAATATTCCACAATATTATTCAGATGACGAAAAATAATGACATCATTTATGTTGAGAATGGAAATAAAAGCAGTAATACATAACAGCCAACATTAGTAATGTTAATACAGCAGTCTCTAAGAGTTAATATTAATTGTTCTATGAGGTGTATTGTACCTCAAAACTATCTCCACGCAAACCCCCAAAATACGTGGTTTCATGGTGCTTTGTTCTAAGATGGTAGAAAACACCTTACTTAACTCTGGATATTTTTTTTTTTTTGTTTAAATAATTTGGGGCTTTCCGAGTGGCAAATAAGCATAGACTTCAATCTGAAATCTCCATGGGCACCCAACAGCAGAGTAAGCCCATCTCCCATAGGCTTATCCCTAAAGTGTCAGGTCAAGGCAGAGAAAAAGGCAAGTCAGGGCAGAGGTAAAGGCAGGTCAAAGTAGAGGCAGCACAGAGGTAGAACAGGGTAGAGGGAGGGAGGGCAGTCAGGATAGGGCACAGGCAGGCAAGACAGAGGCAGCAAAGCAAGGAAGGTAGATCATATCTGGAAGGGCGGGCAGGCAGGCAGGGCTCTGTGTAGAGCAAGGTAGGACAGGCAGGGCTCTGTGTAGAGCAAGGTAGGACAGGCAGGGCTGTGTAGAGCAAGGTAGGACAGGCAGGGCTCTGTGTAGAGCAAGGTAGGACAGGCAGGGCTCTGTGTAGAGCAAGGTAGGACAGGCAGGGCTCTGTGTAGAGCAAGGTAAGGCAAAGAAATGTATACTTAATATTTACTATGATACTGTCTCCTGCTGGCTGGCTGGCTGGCTGGCTGGCTGCCTGCCTGCCTGCCTACCTATCTTCCTTCCACCCCATTTAAGGCAGGCAAGGGGAGGCAGACCACATTGGACTATGAAGGCCAGGGAGGTAGGGTAAGGAAGAGCACAAGGCAGGGCAGGCTGAAGCACGCAGAGCAAGGTAGAGTAGGAGGGGCAGAGCAAGCAGGACAGGACAGGGTTGGGCAAGCAGGCTAAGTTAACCCTTTCAGGGTCCGTCCCGTAGCTCTACGGCTTTACGTTCAGGGTCCAAACCGTAGATCTACGCCATGAGCTCAGCTCGCTCTGATAAACTGTGAGTGGTACATTTGGGCCTAGATATGAGAGAATACATCTATGTGGAAATGTGTGCACCACATAAAACAGATCCTGCAGCACACTGTGTATAATGAGAGAAAAAAAATGAAATCATGATTTTCGATTAAAACAGCGACTTTGCAGTGTTTTTTCGTATGTTTTTTAAATAGTTGTATTTGCATTTTTTGGGTCTCATTTGATAGAATGGAAGACATATTACAGAAATAGAGATGATTTTGTTTGGGTTTTAGCACTGAAATGGCTTGAAACTGAGCTCAAAGTAGGGGAAAATGTTAAATTTTTGCCGATATTCAAGAGTAAACAAACGACCTCACACTTTCTAATACACGTCAGCGTGGTCTAATATACATTCACAAATATGGTGATAAAATTTTATACAATTATTACAGTATTGCATAACAGTAAATGTTCTACTTTTGGTGTGAATAAAAATTCATTATGTGAATAAAAAATAAAAATGGAATTTATGTGTAAAGCCTCAAAACATAAACTAATGAACAAGGAAATGTTAGTTTAGTGCCGGGAATGCCTACATTGTTCATTCTGGACCCTTTTTTTGAATTTTGTGTTAAATTGGTCAAATTAACAATTTCCGACACTTTATTTTGTATTTTGAAACAGTTAAACTTTTTTGATTTCTTGTGCTCAATCGATAGAATGAAGTAATACTAATTTGAAATAGCTAAAAAATTTGGTTGATTGGAATAATGTAATTGGCCTAAAATGGGAGTCAAAGTTGGCAAAATCGCCGATTCGTAAATATCGCTGACACATCAAAATTCGCGAGAGCGTAATTTCGTAAATTTTCCACCAAATTTCGTACTTTTTGTTTTATTACCTTCACAAAAAGATTCTCTACGATTTCATAAGAAAAAATTTTTTTTTTTTTTGAAAATTCTTGGACACTGGTGCGTGACTCCAGATTTGGGCCTTGGACCCTGAAAGGGTTAAAGGCAGGGAAAGAAGTGGAGAGAAAATGTTCTCATTCTTCAGTTGCTGTCTCGTGTTGCCCAGTTATGGTACAAGCACAGTCTCCCTCCCTCCCTCTCAATGCCTTCCACCCACCATCCATTCCCATCCTACTCTTCCAACTCTTCCAACACACCCTCAACTATCACTCCATTTAAGAACTTTACATCACCCAGTCTTGTCAAGGGGTCGAGGCCCACTCTCACAGGCCAAGTATCACATGCTTTACTATTTTTCATAAAATCAAAACTAAGTTCCTTTATGAGGGTAAGTAACTCAAGGATCACTATGTATGAAAAATATCATGTTTTCTCTTACCTGGTTGTGTTAATCCTGCATAGTATTACGCTACTTCCAGAGAGAATACCTTCAGAGACCGAACATGATGATATTTATACTTTTAATTTTACTCCCAACATCGTATCTTTCAGGAAACCCCTCCTGGAATATATAGTATTTAAATTCAATTACACTATATTACACAAACTAGATCTAAATTAAATATGAAGGATATGATTTCAGTTTCATGTGTTCCACAGTATAACCTTACTGCTTGAGAGTTTCATTGAATACATCATAATAAACAAAACTTCAAAAATTTAGTTCCCGAGAAGAAAAAAAACTTGGAAAATAAGCAAAATTTGCATAATTTAAGGTTTCTTGTACAGCAGACTCTTAACTGAAACTTTCAGAATAATCCAGAATGGGGAAAATGAATCATCCCAAAAAAATTGAAATTACTATGAATACCATAAAAAGTTTAGTTCATCAGTTAGGATTTTGTTTTCCCTACAACTAAGCAATTCTATATTCACAACATTCAAAAATTATCAGTAATTTAACCCTTTCACCGTTTCGGTCATATATATACGTCTTACGAGCCACAATGTTTGACGTATACTCAAAAATTCTAGTGGCTTCAAATCAAGCAGGAGAAAGCTGTTAGGCCCAAGTGTGAGAATGGGTCTGTTTGGTCAGTGTGCACCATATAAAAACAATCCTGCAGCACGCAGTGCATGATGAGAAAAAACTCAACCGTGTTTTTGGATTAAAGCGCCGACTTTGAGGTGTATTTTCACATAGTTTTTATGGGTATATTCTCATTTTCGTAGTCACATTTGATAGACGGGTAAACATATTATAGAAATAGAGGTGATTTTGATTGGTTTTACTATGAAAATGACTGAATTGGAGCTTAAAGTAAGGAAAATGTTTTGATTTTTTCTGATGTTCAAGAGTAAACAAACAATGTCATTGTCCAATAAATGTCCAACTAGCCATTCTAATATGCAGTCATGAATGGGTTGATGTTATTTATACAATATTAAATATTGCAGTAGTCTGCATAACAGTAAATCTCTATTTTTGGTTTGAATAAAAATTCAAAATAAAAAGCAAGAGTAATATCAGAGGGGCCTGGAGATGTGACTGATGAACAAAGAAAAATGTCTGCATTGTTCATTCTGGATCCTATTTTGAAATTGGCATTTTTTTTATTTGCGTGAAATTGGCCAAATTGCAATTTCTGACCACTTTATTGGGTAGCCGAAATCGGTAAATGGGCAGTTTCTTGTACTCAATCAATAGAACAAATGGAGTTCTTAAGAAATAGTTATGAGTTTGGTTGACTGGAACAATGGAATTAGCCGAAAACAGGGCTCAAAATGGGCGAAATCGCCAATTCGTAAATATCGCCGAGGTTGCTAACTTCGCGAGAGAGTAATTCTGCAAATTTTCCATCAAATTTCGTACTTTTGGTGTCATTACCATCAGGAAAAGATTCTCTATCATTTCTTAAGAATTTTTTTTTTCTCCAATATTTTGTGATACCAGGAGACACCTCAGGATTTGGGGTTTTGACAGTCAAAGGGTTAAACACTAATACTTCAGAAGTTTTACTGTACCAAAATATCATTACAGCTTACATGCCAATACATTCAGCATTCTATGAATCTTCTCATGAATTTCATGTACAGAGCCTTGTACATAGAAAATCTGCTACAAAAAATGCTATTCATAAATTACAAAAGAAATAATCTCTAGCCACCCAGGTCTGTAGTAGTAATTATGTAAATTTTAGGAAATGCTTTAAAGATTAACTATAACTGTATTAAAAAATAATCCAGCAACAATTCTGAAAGCAGACACTCAGCTTTACCTTCTAATATAGATTTTTAGATTTCATTGCAAAGCCTCTAACATCACCCAGCACATGAGGTCAAATTTCAGATGCAAAGATATGCTGTAGTTCACTCCATACCTGAAGAACAATTTTTCTTTACATAGGGGGCAAAAATGTATCTTCAATTTAAAGTCCCTCTCAAAAGATCAGCAAAATCTGTCCCAAAATATAGTCTCGGGGTTTTAAGTGTTAAATCATCATATACAGCATTAATTTTTTTTTTTTTACTATTATATCCAAACCAATGATTTTGTTTCTTACATTGTTCATGAATGATATACACTTTACATTCCACTCAAAGCAGCAGCAACATACCCAAAAGTACCAACTGTCACCGAGCAATTTCACACCAGTATTTCGCCCAGTCTGGTATGGCCTTTCCACTGCTGAATTTGAGGCAAAGTGAAAAAACAATAAATTCCTAGCAAGACTTGTGTATATAAAATTCTTTTTTATACCCTTCTTCAAATACAAACACATGAACACTAACACAACTTCCCTGAATCTTGAGATTTATTGGAATACATCAAAACTCGTTCTCAAAATCTGACTATCCCAAAAGTATATAATTACAATATACTATATTTCATGGGTTAAAAATTTTCCCTTACCCCGCAGTGTGAATCCTGCATGGCACTACTTCCAGAGAAGATTACCAGCAAGACTGAATATGAAGACAATGTTTTATACTTAAAATTTTTTTTATTATCAACAAACATTTTGACTTTTTAGTCAACTCCTCCTGAAATACAGTATATAAAGTCAACTATAATTATATAAAGTAAACCTAAATTAAATTGTATAAAAGATATAAATTTCAGCTTAATTTTTTCCACAGTAAAACCTTACTGCTTGAAGGCTTGAGAGTTTCATTGAATACATCATTAGAAAAAAAATGTTTAGAATTTAGATTTAATAAATTTCAATGTACAGAGAACCCTTAAGGAAAATGTGCAAGACAAACAAATAAACAAGTCCAACTAAAAATCTAGATCCCTGATGGAATATGAATACTTTCAGGAAGATTACCTGCACAGAATGAACATGGGGACTTGGCTTATACTTGTAATTTTGCTCCCAACATCTTATTTCAGGGCCACCTCCTGGAATATTTTTTAAGCAAATTATTATATAAACTAAACCTAAATGAAATAGCATAAAGGATATAGCTTCAGTTTTTTTTTTTTCCACAGTACAACCTTACTGCTGAAGGGTTAAGAGTTGGATTCTAATCATCATAATTAGGTTGGTAGACAGCAACCAAACCCCGGGAAGTACTACCGTCCGCCAGATGACTGGAAACAGAAACCTTTTAACTGTTTTGCACGATGGTAGGGTTGCTGGTTTATTTTTTCTGTCTCATAAACATGCTAAAATTAAAAGGGATATCTTGCTACTCCTACTTACACTTTGGTCACACTTCACAGACACGCACATGCATATATAATTATTACAAAACATCTAGGTTTTTCTTCTTTTTCTATAAAGCTCTTGTTCTTTTTTATTTCTTCTATTGTCCATGGGAAGTGGAAAAGAATCTTTCCTCCGTAGGCCATGCGTGTCGTATGAGGCGACTAAAAAGTCCCGGAAACAATGGGGTAGTAACCCCTTCTCCTGTAACATTTACTAAAAAAGAGAAGAAAAACTTTATAAAACTGGGGTCTTTAATGTGCGTGGATGTATGCGGATGACAAGAAACAGATGATTGCTGATGTTATGAATGGAAAAAAAGTTGGATGTCCTGGCCCTAAGCACAAAAAAAGCTGAAAGGGGGTAGGGGAGTTTCGGTGGGGGAAATAAATGGGATTAAATCTGGATATCTGAGAGAGTTAAGCAAAGGAATGGGTAGCAAAATGTTGAAGGATCAGTTATGGAAGGAGAAAAGAGAATATGAATGTGTAAGTTTAAGAATTATTGGATGAAAGTAAAGGGTTTGGGTGCGAAAAGTGGGTCATAATAAGCGTGTAGCACCTGGAGAAGAGAGGGAAAGCAGAGGAGAGATTTGGGAGATGTTAATGAATGTATAGGAGCCTTGAACCAAATGAAGAGTAATTGTGGCAGGGGACCTGAATGCTAAAGAAGGAGAAACTTTAGAGGGTGGGTAGGTAAGTTTGGGGCCCCGGGGTAAAGGATAATGGGGGCCCTTTGATTGAACTTTGTATAGAAAGGGTTTATTATAAGGTAAACATATTTTAAGAAAAAGAGCATAAGTATACATGATATGATGTAGGGTGAAATGACAGTAGTTTGTTGGATTATGTATTGGTAGATAAACGACTGTTGAGTAGACTTCAGGATGTACATGTTTATAGAGGGGCCATAGATATATCAGATCACTTTCTAGTTGTAGCTACACAGAGTAAAAGGTAGATGGGATACAAGGAGAATAGAAGCGTCAGGGAAGAGAGAGGTGAAGGTTTATAAACTAAAAGAGGAGGCAGTTAGGGTAAGATATAAACAGCTATTGGAGGATAGATGGGCTAATGAGAGCATAGGCAATGGGGTCGAAGAGGTATGGGGTAGGTTTAAAAATGTAGTGTTAAGAGTGTTCAGCAGAAGTTTGTGGTTACAGGAAAGTGGGTGCGGGAGGGAAGAGGAGCGATAGGTGGAATGATGTAAAGAGAGTTGTAAGGGAGAAAAAGTTAGCATATGAAAAGTTTTTACAAAGTAGAAGTGATGCAAGGAGGAAAGAGTATATGGAGAAAAAGACAGAGGTTAAGAGTGGTGAAGCTATGTAAAAAGAGAGCAAATGAGAGAGTGGGTGAGATGTTATCAACAAATTTTGTTGAAAATAAGAGAAAGTTTTGGAGTGAGATTAACAAGTTAAGGAAGCCTAGAGAACAAATGGATTTGTCAGTTAAAAATAGGAGAGGAGAGTTATTAAATGGAGAGTTAGAGGTATTGGGAAGATGGAGGGAATATTTTGAGGAATTGTTAAATGTTGAAGATAGGGAAGCTGTGATTTCGTGTATAGGGCAAGGAGGAATAACATCTTGTAGGAGTGAGGAAGAGCCAGTTTTGAGTGTGGGGGCAGTTCGTGTGGCAGTAGGTAAAATGAAAGGGGGTAAGGCAGCCGGGATTGATGGGATAAAGATAGAAATGTTAAAAGCAGGTGGGGATATAGTTTTGGAGTGGTTGGTGCAATTATTTAATAAATGTATGGAAGAGGGTAAGGTACCTAGGATTGCAGAGAGCATGCATAGTTCCTTTGTATAAAGGCAAAGGGGACAAAAGAGTGTGCAAAAATTATAGGGGGACA